TTTATAATTTGCTGACAATGATGTATCACAGTCTGTTTTTGTTTATTTCCTTTTTAAAGTCCACCCTCGGATACGTCGCTCTACTGATAAGCACATTCCACGTTTTACTTTATGGCTGGAAACGGGCGTTCGAAGAAGAGTACTACCGTTTTTACACCCCTCCAAACTTTGTCCTGGCGTTGGTCCTCCCATCTATTGTAATTCTGGGTAAAATAGTTTTGCTCTGCCCATGCGTGAGCAAAAAGCTTCGAAGAATTAAAAGAGGCTGGGAGAAAAGCCATTTTAAGGACAAGTCCAGTGGCTCGGCAGCTCATGTATCTCCAGAAAGGGTTACAGTAATGTAATGTGCCAATGAACTGTTCTAGAATTCTCACATTTTCATTTCAACATTTATTATTTTCTTTTGCGTTAACATGAACCGTGCAGGAGCTATACAGAAAAAAAAGGGATAAATAGCAATAGAGCAACAGTTTGAACAAGTACTCTTCATATATATTCTAAATTGCCTTCACATAAATTAATCTTGCTAATTTATGTAGTATTAACCAGCGTTACAGCAAGATACTTTATTCAAATGTAATAATATCTATCTGTGTAACAGACAATTGCACTACAGCTAAACATTATTAGAACATTGTGAATCTTTTCATTACTACGGAACACCATCTGGAGAGCTCCTACCATAAGCACACAAGAGCATCTTTTAACATGGGCTCTCTTGACAAATTAAAGTTGTATCCTACATACAGGAATAGTGCCAAACACTGAATTTAGATAGATAAATTCATAACTAAAGTGCAAATAAAAATCTCATACAATTTTAGAATCCTTGTATTAACACACTTGTAGATCTCATGAGGTTGACCAGAAATGAAGACGTTCATTAAGAGGAAAACTAATTGGCACTCTGTTTACAGAATACAAACTCCTTGGTGGCTTCAGTTTAGAAAGAGGCTTTTTCTCAAAATTACAGAAGATGCCCATATTATGAATATTCCTATAGACAGGAGGAAAACAGTAATTTAATGTTTAAAACTTTATTGTTCCAGATGAAATGCACATTTTGCAAGCATAGCACTTGTATATGACCGGCTGGGGTGGTCAGAATAAACTGTCTTTGCATCCATAGAAAATAAACAATTTATTGAAACTGTTTTAAAACTCAGTGCAATGGCAGCTCATATCTGATCACCCCCATGGTATAACTCTGGTAGGTGTGAAATATTTTCAACATCAATGTCTAATATGTGTTATTTTGTTGCAATATTTAATGCCCATTCCACACTCTTTTATTCGTCCTCTTCCAAAGTTATTTGGCTAGTAATTCTATGGGGAAAAGTCATAGCCGTAAGTGTTCAGTATTAGACGACTTCTGATGTTACAAGGTTTTCAGTCATGTTTTGTATTTCCAGAAACCCATTGATACATCACCTTTTGTAGTAATATTGGATTTGTATTTTTTTATCTAGAGTTTCATATATATATATATATCACCAAATGTTTTTAAGATAGGATTCGTGAAAATAATGTTAATTGCACATGTGGCATATCAGCATTTCTTATGATGTTCCTAATTGCAGTGTTTTTAGAATATATATGTGCCAAAATTCCTTCACAGAAGCCTTCTGGAGAATAAAGGTTATTGAAAAGGATTATTCACTAAAGTGAGTATTCAAAGTGAATTTCATATTTAAGGCCAGAGTAGCGAGATTTTTTCAAGTTTGGCAATTTTTACCTTAAATTTGAAATTCATTACAAATTCTCACTGTAAACATCTTTAAAAGAAAGATAAATGACGTGCATTTAAGAAAAAACTGAAAATTGTGAGCAAAAACATGTTATCAACTGCAAACAAAATAAAAAAAGGACAGGGATATCAAAAGAAATAGTCCAGCTTATCTCTAGCCACTTCAAATACTTTTGTTTTTGTTTTCTGTAATATAATTTTGCCAAATATAAATCGACACCATAACCACTTAAGTATATTGAAGTAGTTATAGTGTCTGTACAATCTTTCATTTCATTTGTGACAGAATATGTTTTTAAAGTGGAGCTTGTAGCTCAGCCCACAATCCCTCTCAGACAGAGAGCTGGGAATTACACCGTGAGTTGGGACGGAAAGAGAAATACAAAGATTATAATGGCTAATTGAAAAAAAAATTAATAAAAAGATATTTCCTATAATGATAAAAAAATTTCAAGTTTGCCTCCCCTTACCATCCATTACGTAGCTCACATAATCCAACTGTAACCATCCATTCCCACATTCAAATTTGTTGTTATCCTGCCTGAAAGGTTATACTAGTGTTTAATAAAACAACGATCTTTAAGCCTCTACACCAGGGATAGGCAACCTTTGGCACTCCAGATGTTGTGGACTACATCCCCCATAATGCTCTTACACACATAATGCTGGCAAAGCATCATGGGAGGTGTAGTCCAAAACATCTGCCGTGCCGAAGGTTGCCTATGCCTGCTCTACACTATTGCCGAGCAGAGTCTTTAAAATACAGGCTTGGCCAGTCCTTGTAATTCTGGCACCCTACAGATACTACACTGTTTGTGATTTTGTGGACTACATCTCCCATAATTCTTACATTCATAAATATATGAATATTTGTCGATCAAACCATCAGCATTGATTCTGTTACGCAGGATAGAGCCCATGTCTGCATAAGTTAAGGCAGACCATTTATTTTGTACAATTTTTAGAAGACCCAGTTTTCTGTGTGAATGTTCCTGCATTGTAAGCAGTGCTGTACCCTTCATTGTAAGAAGTGTGGGAACGCAGAACCATCTACAGATATAGGCCTCAATTTCATATTTTTCAGATAAGCTTTTCAAATCATTTTTTATATTTTTGGATAAACTTTTAAAAACTTTTTTTCTCAAAATATTAAAATATCAAAAACATGTTGCGTTTAAAACATATATATATATATATATATATATATATATATATGAGTATATTAAAATATTTTTCAAAATATTAAATCATTTTAAAAGTGTATACAAAAATATACAGCTCATACTAAAATATTAAATCGATGCCGTATCGAGGGAACTGAGTGAATAGAGCCCTTCTGGTTTATAAATCAGATACTCTCTTATAGTAAGGTTCATTAAACAGATATTATGTAAAATTGCATTATCTCATGATCAGTGAAGTAAATTTTATTTGCTAAAGAGAGATGATAGTGTATCGAAGAACTAGTAATCATAAACGTGGTTACTACTTACTCAGTATCTGAAATGTGATATTCTAATTGTGTAAGCATAAATTATAGCACAACGCTTCTTATATTGTACGTGTTGGTCCATAGTTTTCTCTATCACACCTTTCAAACATATATTTTGTTAAGTTTGGTAAAGTAAATCTAATATGATTTTTAAAGAAACACTGCAGCATTAAGAGTAATAATGTGTATTGCTAACGCCATTGTGCCCTGTTAGTTGTTTAGGTCCCCTGGCCCCCACGTGCAGGGAATTAAAAAAGAATTTTACTTACCTTTGCTCCCTCCTAGCACCAGTCTCCATGGGGGAAGCTTTGCCTGCTTGGCTAAAATAATCGAGTTCAATGATCTTAGCCAATCCACTGCTTTCCCATGAGAAACCTTTGCTATGGTAAAGCGCATACGCGGCAAAACGCAGCACTGTGCACATTAGATGGTTTCTCAGAAACTGTCTAATAGAGATAGCAGAGTTTTACTCTATTTCAGAAGAAATTCCCTAGTGATTGTATGAGTGACAGCCACTAGAGGCATGTAAACCCTACAATAAAAACATTGTTGTTCTGTAGAATGGCAGTGTCTTCAACTGGGGAGAAAATGGGGAGACATAGCATCTATTGAGATGAAGTGATCTGGGTGCCTATTGTTTCTCTTTAAATGATTAAAGTTGACAGATTGTGTATTATAATATTCAATGTACGAAAACTACCAAATGAATCTCCTGCCAGGCTCTGGGACAAGCAAGGTGGGTACCAGAGGGCCAGTTTGTGTTGTTAGTCTTTGGTGCACGAAGGAATAACATTTGGCTTTTAGTAACATAAAATCAGCCATACCTTCTGTCAATACAATACAATGTTTAGCAAAAAATAACATGACAGCTTCACTTTAAATTGTCACAGATATAAAATATAGATACAACATTTTTTGGAAAAATGGTCTTTAAAATATTTCATGAATGGTGCCATCCTCTAGCATGGGCGTAGCAAACTTTATTCACTCCAGATGTTGTAGACTACATCTCCCACAATGTTCTTACAGTTATAATGCTGTCAAGCATCAGGGGAGTTGAGAATCCGGAGTGCTGAAGTTTGCCTACCCCTGCCCTAGCAACACCCCCGGGCTTTACAATTGCTTTACAATTGCCCCTCCTTAGTCGTTTTGAATTGTTCTATACGCACTTGACTTAATAAAGTGGCATACTGGTTTATGGCATCTTTTACAGGTATATAATTAAAGGAGCACTATAGGCAGCCAGACAACTTCAGCTCAGTCAAGTGGTCTGGGTACCAGGTCCCTCTAGTTTTAATCTTGCAGCTGAAAACATAGCAGTTTGACAGCCGCTAGAGAAGCTTCCGCAATTCTCACTGTGAAAATGAGAAGACACTGGACGTCCATAGGAAAGCATTGAGTAATGCTTTCATATGGGCTGTTTGAATACGCGCACAACTCTTTTGTCGCACATGCGCATTTGGATCTGAAGTCGGCAGAGGGAGGAGAGTTCCCCAGCACAGAGGGAGCCCGGCGCTGGAGAAAGGTAAGTGGCTGAAGGGGTTTTAACCCCTTCAGCCCTGAGGGTGGGGGGACCTAATGACTCTATAGTGCCAGGAAAACTAGTTTGTTTTTTCCTGGTACTATGGTGCTCCTTTAAACAAAATTTCATCTAAAAATAAAAGCACTTTAACATATTCTGCAAAAAAAAAAAAAAGTTATATATAAATGAGTTATATTATAAATAAATGTATTTATATATTAAATATTCCAATTCTAGGTTAGAAGTGATACCAAATTATGGTCAGGGGAACAAAATATCTTGACCTTAAAGCAGACTGTATTAAAAGTAATTAGTATGGTGGTATTACTGGAATTGTGTAAAATGACTTGTACAAGACACTTTACTATCAGATGGCAAAAAATAATAATATTCTGATAAAATAACGATAACATTTTCAATCTCTGCATAGAAAGCTTCAAGCAAATCGGTCAAATCCGACTGGTTCGTGAAACGTGATTAGATAAATTGCTTGTTTTAGTGGTGTAGTCATGGATGAAAATAATAGGATTAATAACATTTATTTTATTTCTCAAAACAGCTACTGTTAATCCCCCTTTATAAGATCATTTTGATGCACGTGCCCCGTTCTTGGAAATCTATAAGTTAATACCAAGCCAGGTATTTATACAGCCCTTCTTTGTGCTTCCAAAATAGCATAAAATGTAACATGTAGAAATATACACTAAAATCACATTTTACCATGTAAAGTTCTCTAAAGATCTGTGGTATTTCTGGTTGCCCTCTATGCAGTTACAAACGTCAGGATGCTGTGAAGGCATGTCAGACTTACAAACTAGTGTGACAGTGTATTTTACAATTATTTTGTAGTGTACATGTCTTGTTTGGGGGGTTTGTACAATAAAGCAATATGGTCAGCATTTTAAAGCAGTGAACTCGGCTCTAGCCTTGTCCAACCTTCTGTTATCCTTGTATGCTAAATTATTTAAGTAGGAAACTGGGGGTATTTGTGAATTCAAATATCTCCAGACGTATACACTGTATTTCAACTATTTAAGTGAGCATTTGGCTTTTAAAGAAATTGAGTGTGTTTTGTTTTTCTACTGTATCACACTATAGTCATTTTCTTTTATGCTGAAACTCTTTATATGATGATGTGCTGTCTGATCCTTGAATCCGTTCTAGAAGAAAAGACAAAACTACAAAAGTATTTTTTCTTTTCTCAATATTGTTATTTTAAATATTTAAGGTGTCTTTGTGTTTTAATGTGCTGCACTTATATTCTGTTGTGTTGTTTATTATGTGTGGAGAACAATTCTGGGGCAGAGTGCTACTTTTAAAATATGTACTTTGCTACCAAACTGAGTATTTCTCTGTGCTCTAAAATGAATATCTTGTTTCAGAGTGGCTTCAGTGTTTAGTTTACTAATATATATATATTAGTAACAATCAATTAGGAACTATTGTGAATTAAAAAAAAAAAAAAAAGCACAACACATAGCTAACCTACTTTTCTATGAGCTGAAAAGAAATACTACACCTGACAGTTCTGTTTATAAGACTAACAAGATAATTTAAGCTTTGATGCAGAAATAGCCGAGTTAGAATATTTTTTTCTAAAAATAATAGTAACATTGAAAGTTTGCTTTTTCTTAAAACACTAAGTGTTAGTGTTAAAACAGAAACACGTATTTAGTATACAAGTAAGTCATAAACTTTTTTAATCCATCCAACCTGTCCCCTTTCTAATCCAAAAATATAAGACCGTACTTGATCTTGTTTATAAATCTGTCCATTGTTAGTGCTTGACACTGTTAAACTCCTCTATTGTATTGGCAGCTCCTCCAGACAGTTGGCCTTTTCATTGATCAATAATCCTTTTCGAAATAAATACATCTGCTAATGTAACCCACTTAAGAGCATAAGCCATTTATTTTCAATGATTTTTGAGGCTGCAGAGAAGGTTATCCTTTTGTAATTTGATACTTTTAATAAACCTCTCATTACCTCTTCTCTGTCCCATTTAATTCCTGTTAAGAGCTTTTAAATCATTTGTGCTGTGTTCTTCAAAAGTTAAGCTATAGCAGACAAAATTGAAATGTGCATTTTAAGGTATTTTGGCATCAAATGTAAAATACACTTTAAATTCCTAACAATACAATACACTTAATTAATCTTTAGCAATATATTAAACATATATAGTTGATTACAACATCCATAAAATGTATTTATTTAGTTGTTTACATTATGTTCCTAGTTACACTTGGCTTGCAATTCTTCTTTGCAGAGTATGTCTAACTTTGTGTCGGTTTTAATACATTTTTTGCAGCTTTAAATTACCGAGCAGCTTAAAACTAACTGTCCTAAATAACACTAACTTTATTTTAGAGGAGGGTAAACTGCATTTAATACACTTGTACATTCCAATTGTGTATTTTTATCTTCATTTTTTGTTTCATGTGATTTTAACGCTATAACTCCTGCTTAACGTCATTCCAATGTGCTGCTTGTCTAACGTGTGAAATATTGTAGTGTCTGGTGATGATGGTAACATTAAAATAGTGTTGGTAGAAAACCCACTGTGTAGCGTATTTATTATTGTCAAAGTGTTTGCAATGTGTAACTGGTACAGAATGATCATCAACCATATGCTATCAGTTCCAGTTCATTAAATGCTTTAAACACTGCATTTTTTACTGGGTTATAGCTGAGCTAGTGGATATGGCAAGGGGAAGTTTATAATTCAAGGAATATCTGGTGAATTTGCAGAATATAAGCACGGTCAGCCTCATTATGTAAAGTAAAATGCTGGCACTGCAAAATACTCCAACATGCTGCTGAATCCTGCACACAACTATCCAGCCATGCTTTCATTATTTCTGATTCTGGAGAGACACAGGTCACTCACAAAAAACTCCTAATAAGGAACACTGATTTTGTATTCAGCTGGGTAGGAGGTGCTTGCGATGGACCCTGAAAAATGTTGCACAAGTAGACGGAGTATGTGAAGGTGAAAGTGTCTCAAACAAAGTTTTAAGTTCATCAACTTTCTTTTATTCACTTAAAGGGAAACTCCAGGCTTCAGTTAACCATTTTCTTCCTAGTTATATAAATAATTCAAATATATGTAAAACAATACATTAAACACTATAAAACAGCTGTACAGCTATATCATATGGAGCAAATAGGAAAGCACTCTAGGTTGAGAAAGGTGTGGAAAGGTGGGCTTAAGGACCAAACCAATAATTGGGAAATAATAAACCCTGGACATTAATTTAAAAAAAAGTCAGTTTGACCATCTGTAATCTAGCCTACATATTGCACCTAACAAGGAAGGTTTGTCTTTAACGTGGAACCATCCATACAGATGTTTAAACTGCAATTGGATACATACTTGCAAAAACATAACATACAGAGATATAATTTCTAATTAGTTAATTGGGTAATAGCTGCTTGATCCAAGGAGACATCTGACTGCTATTTTGGGGTCAAGAAGGAATTTTTTCCTTGTTTGTTGCAAAATTGGAAGCACTTCAGACTAGGTTTTTTGCCTTATTTTGGATCAACAGCAAAAACATATGTAAGGGAGGCTGAACTTGATGGACACAAGTCTCTTTCCAGCTATGTAACTACGTAACAATGAGTTCCATCTATTTTTTATTTATTCATTTTTTTTACTTAAGGTTGAGGGGAGAGGGAGATCTACTTACTTGGCGTTCTCCCTATTTGGTGTAACTATGTTATGGTTCAGTCCATTGATCCTCCAAAGATGATGATATGTTGCACATCATTTGCTAAGATGCCTGTTCCTATCAGCCATGGCGAGTGATAGTGTACCCATTGTACAGCGCTATGGAATTTGCTGGCGCTATATAAATAATATAATAATAATAACAGTGTAATGTCCATGCCTCTACCCAAAACAGATATATGAAATCATTGAACAATGTACTCACTCAGTTCAGATTATGTAGAGTAGATAGAAACCCATGGTGCCGGTTCTTCTAATCCTCGCACAATAATGCATAATATAAAAAGTTGGATCCCCATTCAAATAGTATCAATTGCCATTTCCATGGAGATTTTATTAAAAGTAATGTTTTTTGGGGAAAAAAAACAAAACACATTTAAAGATTCATGGCAATATTTATGACCACATAGGTGTAGATAGACTTGATGAAGCACAAAGAACAATAACCCCACTCCTGCAAAATTAAGGAAATTCGGGAATAAAAAGAAAAAAATCTAGTGAAGACCGGACACATTGCGTGTTTGTACCGATGCTTCCTCAGTCCAGCCTTTGAATGTTTTATACTTTTTTTTTTTTTAATCCCTCCACGACTCCCTTAATTTTTCAGGTGGGTTGAAATATTTGTGCTCTATCAAGACTACCCACACCTATGTGATCTGAAATATGTATGTTTAAATGTTTTTTTTAAATATATTTTTCTTTTTTTCAATAAACCATCACTTTTAATAGAATTTTCGTGGCATTGGTGATTGATACTATTTGACTGCTGCTCCAACTTTGTGTGTTGGGTATACATGGCAAGTAGTACCTGACCTTTTCAATTTCAAATTACAACACACCTATACATTGTTCAGCCTCAACGTTAACATCACCTACCTAATATCGTGGAGAAACAATAGATTTCTTTTTGGTGGTCTTATACTCTTACACCCATTAAGACTAAGCCTGCTTAACATCTAACAGGGTTATTCGCTAACGTGAGAATTCAAAGTGAACATCAAATTTAAGGTCAAAATATTTAGAAAAATTCTCTAACACCTTAACAGTATATACCTCTAATCTTGAACCCAAGGAAAATACTAATGTAACACTTCACAGAATCATTCAACTGGTATTCCATAAAGGGAAACTGTAGTGCCAGTACCCACCTTCCCGACCCGCAGTGCAGGAGGGGTTAAAAAACCCTTTCTGTCACTTACCTGGGTCCAGTGCCGATGTCCCTCAACGCTGGTTTTGAGGGACCTAATGCGCACGTGGGGGATGAGGATTTCCCTATAAGGAATGCATTATACAATGCTTTCCTATGGCAATTGTGGTGACGCTGGTTGCCTAAAAGCCTAGAAGTCCCTGTTGGAAGATTGTTTAGTCAGACATAGTGCTTTAATCAAGCAGGAAAGGGGGAATGTAATGCCTAAATCATTTTCCCATGACTGCATGCATGGTAGTTTATCTGCATTGTTGATTTTGTTAGAAGCATTGTAACACAAAGATAGGTATTCAATTTTAGAATATGTTCCTAAGCAACCATGCCCAATGGATGTCATTAGTGTAGGATCTGGTGCAGGTATATGCTTATGTAACAATAAGTTTTTGATCCTTAAATAAGTAAATAACTCCCTAGCGGGAAGCGAAGATTCCCATTGTATATCCGGAAAGCTTTTAATCCCAGAAATATTGTATAGAGAGCTAATTTTGCGAATCCCATAGGAGGTGTACTTATTCAGCTCAAGGTTTGGTGTAATAGCCATCAAGGCTGTCAATGGGGCTAGTGAGAGAATTTCTAAATTCCCCATCAATTGTGGTACCCATTTTTTCCAACATTGGAGTATAAGTTTGGAAGATGGGAGCATGTTGTGTGTCAACTAATCGGACATCGATGCCGTCCAAAGGAGAGTTTCTAGTTTATTTGAGATCATGCACACATTTTCCAGATGGGACCAAATTGGCATATTAGATCGAGATAAGATTACCAAACCTTGAGATAGTATTGTTGCCCTATAGTATATATAAACGATTGGAATGCCAAGGTCTCCTCTTAGGAGTGGAAGTCATGTCAAACAAATTTGCAACCCTTGGGGGTTTTCTTCTTCCAAATATGTGCATTAACAAGTTGTTGGAATTGCCTCAGCAGTTTGTTTGGTAAAGCAATGGGTAGCAATGGTGCGGAAAAGATATAAAAGTGTACCGAACTTAATTAAAGCTTTGGAAATTGTCCAAAATTTGACTTAAAAAATCAGAAACACATTCAACTACTGGGATTCCTTTTTGGTGGTCTCCCCCACCCATTCTAAGAGACAGAGAAAAGACCATGCATGACAGGTAAGTCCTTACATGAGTTTATGATCACAAATGTTAGGTGGTTTTTGGAGTCACAATATGCCTTTCTCAAACTCCAGCCTGTATGCTCAGTGAAAGCTGCCCTTCTGACTGACTAAGCCACATCCATTGGGCCCATGGTCTTATCCAAATACTTTCTAAATGGTCTGTTAAATTCTCACAGGAAGGAGAAATTGTTAATTTCATGTTTTATTTTAATTTTTCTTCCACTTAATTCCATAAATGCATGAATCAGTATGAAGTAAAGCAGGAAATAAATAATGAAAATGGAACTTGTGGTTCAGACTGGTAGAACGCGCGCGTTAAGTTTGACCCTCGGCAGCCGCCGTGCCTCAGGTTAGAGACTCGTCTCCATGGTAACGGCACCCAGTCTGTGTTGACACCCAGAGCCCAGGGGATTCTCCTGGGATACCGAACTGCGGGCTTACTGTCCTGGATCCCCACCCAACATGCCGGCGGCACAGGAGACGGCAGCCACGCGGGCACCACTACCGGCAGCAAACATGGCGCAGACCGGGCGCAACAAAGCACCTAACAGCAAGGAATCCCCGCGGCCGGTGGTGAGACTGGTGGTGACGGACACCGAGCTCGGGGACCAGGAGGTAATAATACAGGGACAGATAGGGGCCCCAGGGGTAATAGAGGGACAGATAGGGGCCCCAGGGTGTAATAGAGGGACAGATAGGGGCCCCAAGGTGTAATAGAGGGACAGATAGGGGCCCCAGGGGTAATATAGGGACAGAGAGGGACCCCAGGGGTAATAGAGGGACAGATAGGGGCCCCAAGGTGTAATAGAGGGACAGATAGGGGCCCCAAGGTGTAATAGAGGGACAGATAGGGGCCCCAGGGGTAATAGAGGGACAGATAGGGGCCCCAAGGTGTAATAGAGGGACAGATAGGGGCCCCAGGGGTAATATAGGGACAGAGAGGGACCCCAGGGGTAATAGAGGGACAGATAGGGGCCCCAAGGTGTAATAGAGGGACAGATAGGGGCCCCAAGGTGTAATAGAGGGACAGATAGGGGCCCCAGGGGTAATAGAGGGACAGATAGGGGCCCCAAGGTGTAATAGAGGGACAGATAGGGGCCCCAGGGGTAATATAGGGACAGAGAGGGACCCCAGGGGTAATAGAGGGACAGATAGGGGCCCCAAGGGTAATGAGGGACAGATAGGGGGGGTAATAGAGGGACAGATAGGGGCCCCAGGGGTAATAGAGGGACAGAGAGCGAGCCAGGGGTAATAGAGGGACATATAGGGGCCCCAGGGGTAATAGAGGGACAGAGAGGGGCCCCAGGGGTAATAGAGGGACAGAGAGGGGCCCAAGGGGTAATAGAGGGACAGAGAGGGACCCCAGGGGTCATAGAGGGACAGAGAGGGGCCCCAGGGGTAATAGAGGGACAGATAGGGGCCCCAGGGGTAATAGAGGGACAGATAGAGACCCCAGGGGTAATAGAGGGACAGATAGGGGCCCCAGGGGTAATAGAGGGA